CACATTGTCCTTATTTATTTTGGTAATAACCATGGTTTCTTACTGATCCTGTGACTCAATTATTTTAATGCATGTTATATATTAGTGCATATTTCCCACTAAACATATATTATAAAACTCTATTAATATACGTCTTCAACATATTAAACATGTTTTGGATATAAGAAACACAATTAATTCAAATAGACTCATGAATTCTGTGAGTTTTTATGAGCAAAAATTTATAATTTTACGTGTGATATAGTGCAGAATATCAAAAACAAGGATGTGCAAGTTGTCAAAATATAAAATCTTTAAATGAAAGGGAAAATACTTTTTTTGAGGACTTAAATACATTTAACAAATGGCATTTGGAGAAGATGATTTTACTGGTTGAAATCTGAATAACTAAATACTGAAAATTTATAAAACATCTTAAATTGTTTAACCCTTTCAATCCCAATTTATTTGTTTCAACTGACTTGATTTTTTTTTTATGCCTTCTTGGTAATTATCACAAATGACACAAATCACACTAACAGAAATTGACAGTCTGTCACTAAGCCTCTATAAGAAGATGCGCGCAACAATTTTGTAATGGGGATGTTAAAAATGATGCCTGCTACCAGTGGGACATCAACTATGTAGTAAATTAATGCGTTTAATTCTCTCTAGGTTTCTTTAAACATCTACTGGGACTTAACCCATTGGGACTGAAAGGGTTAAGGGAGAGACTTAAATGCTGTATTTCACCGCACTTAAAATTTTCAGAATATTGATTTATGAGTTTTTTACAAAAGTTCATTTTTTAATAAATGATTACATTTCATATTCAGTTATTCATAAAATGAAATTTTTTTCTTTCATTAATAGTGGTAGTATATATTTGTTTCGAAAGAGAAGTGAGAATTAGGATTTGCCTGGGAATTGTAGCAATCTGTATGCAAGATGAAAGCAATTAAGAACTTTTCGGGAAACTAACGCTTGAAGGTCTTAGTTTTGAGTATTGAGTTGAAAAACAAGCTAAGTGGCTGAACTCAGGGGAGGGCGGATGAATTACAGCTATTTATACTATTGGGGAGAGTCAACCATTAGTTAACATCCGTGAGAACGGGTGTTTCGTTCAAGCCTTACTCCAGGGTTCCTGTCCCCTCTGGCCGCTGAAGGCTATTTGGTTAATAAAAGACAGCTGAAAATTTCGGTCATTACTGATGATGGTCCATGTACAGACAGAAATAGCATTTCTTAACTTCTTAGTATTTGTGTGTTTTACATCTACCATGCAGTTTAAAAAGAGAACCCAGAAAAGTTTAGAGTTCAAACGTGTTTAGATCGCCCTTCCTTGTTTGTTTTTGAAAAAAGGCCCTTTGCCTCTTTTGCATATAAGTATTCATACATACAGATTTATTTAATTAATATATAATTTCATCAATGAATTATATTAAAAATATAGATTTAATTAACATTTTTTCTTTCTTTTTTGGCCTAAGTTCAACGATACGAATAATGAATAATCCAAAATTTTAAACTTTTTCCAATAAAATTACATATTTACGTAGTTCGATTAAGGAGGCGAAACTCTACGATTATACGTATGATAAAAACATCATAAATTCAAACTTTGTCGCTGAGAATGGAAAATATTTAAAATCTGAGGAACAAGATTTTCCAAAATTAAATAATTTTTTTAATTATATAAACTTTAAGCAGTGTCTTTTCAGAACTGTGCATTATGCATTTATTTTTTTTTTTAAATTTCTTTATTATTAAATACTTCTTCAGACCAATAAGAGAAATATACAAATTTTCCCGAAATATGTTTTAATCTGTCAAAACAACTTTAAAAATTTGGTGTCCGGTCTTTAAACACAAAAATTATAAAATTTCCTTTTACGATTTAATGTATTTAAGGAATAAAACTTTAGTTTATGTAAAATAATGAGAATAATATAAATACGAAGAAATGAAAAAATATAAGTGCTTTACAAGTAAATGAAATTGGTATAATGCTTTTAAAAGTACTGTGGTTTTTTTTTTTTTTTCCAGTTCCGTTTTTTTTTCCGAAATGTTTCATTAATTCCCCTTTGCTTCCGATTGCTCAACAAACGCCCACACGACTGTCTTTCTTTATGTCTCGTGTTCACAACGTCTGTTCCTGTACGATTAAATCTACATAATAACAGGACCGAGTAATTCTAAATTAAAATGTAATCTTAATTATCTAATTAATCTTAATTAATCTAATTCTAATTCTAAATTAAAATGTAATCTTTAAAAAAAATTATACAAAATAAATTTAGAATTGTACACAGCCCCTTAAAGAATAAAATATCATATATTTCACATCTACGGCCTAGAAACAGCATCTACACAGCTTTACGGACTGGGAATATCATTTTTTTACGGATTATTATTAACTAGGAGTATGATATACGGCTTTACTAATTGGGAATATGATTTGGCCTTTACGACGAAACTGTTAAAAAAATAATCGACGTAACGTCTACATTGATAAGCATAATGCACAATGTTCCAAAGACCTAGTTTAAATTTATATGTGATTATCCACATAACACAATCGTATGATTAATTCTATTCACTTTAAGTATCTTTTATAGAATATTTCACATTTAGTACATTTGTATAACATATTTCATTAAATGTAAGGCAACTTTCTTATGTAAAAGCTAAATAATGTTCATTAATTTTAAAAGTTATATAAACTTGTGGTGATATTTATGATATGACACTAAATAGTTTGCTATAAGATTTGGAAAAATAAGAAAATAGCCATACATTTTCTAGAAACATTTAATTTTTTCTGGAAACATGTTTACTGGAACATTTTTTCCAGGATAATTTTTCAGGGACATTTTTTTTAACACCGTGCGTAATAACACTGCGTAATAACAGTACCGTGTGCAATAAATTTTCGTAATGATAATTTTTTATGAAATAATACAGTTGTCCATTTATCCGCACTTCCTGTTATCTGAGGTAATCCACATTACCTTAAATGATTGAATTCCACACATATGATAAGAAAACCTAATTAAACAAAACTTAATTAAAAGACTTAATTACTAAAAAACCTACATAAAATATTTATCAGGACAGAGAATAATGCATATTAATTAATTTTCAGGTTTAAATAACACTGTCTTTCATGTTATTTTTTCCCGTGCAATTCCCGTCTGAGTTATTTATTCTAGCTGAGTACTTCTTTCTCTTCATCATTGTCTCGGTCCTGTTATTATGTAAGAAGTATTTAAATTCTTTATATAAAATGCACTAAAAAAAAAAAATGTTAGCAAATAAACGCATTGCACAATTTACATACTACATTTACATATAAATATATATGTAAACAACATGTCTAGAATTTAATTGCACACTTTCGACACGTACATTTCGTTTCCATAAAGAGTGTAATCTCTTATCATATGTTTCTATGTTTACACAATAGGCTAGGTTGTTTAAATATGGCAAGGCACACAAAGGCTATCAAGCTTAGAGAAAGGATGCCTGCGATGAGGGCTTTCTCGATACCAACCACGAAGCCAGCCTCTTTGCCTGAAATGGCACTGCGTTCAAACTCCTAGCATTCAGCGATTTTAACCATTCGACCACTAATAGGGGTCATGATTACAGTAAGATTAAAGATTATAATTTATAAATTCGAATGCTTTGCGAAACGTTTGTTCATATAAAATTAAATGTGAAACAAAAACAAAAAGATTCAATAAAAAATGAAAATGCGTCAAAAAACGTGCAGAGTGACTTTTAGATTTAAAGCTCATAGCTCATTTCTGATTTTCCTGGTAGACTCAATCTTAAGTTTCTCAAGTAAATGGTTTTCTTATAGTCTTATAGTATGATAGTGGCTGTGATCTACATGCATCTGGTACTCGCTGCTCGACAATACGTGGATAAATATCGATAGAGACCTCGAGATACGTAATTAATAAAGTACTTCTGATAAAACTCAACATTCAGATCATTACAATAGACCAGTTGTACAAAAAAATATGACACGGAAGGCTTTTTACCACTTTACTTAGAGTATAATATGCTTATATAAGACATCTCTATAACTAAAACTTGGATGTTGGATTGCTGTATTTTTTACTCTTTTTATTTTAATTCTACACAGATATTTTTATTCTAACTAGACTCATCTCTCTTTCTATCTTCATTTTACTTCTAATTGTTTATCATAAAATTTCAGTCTAATTATTTTAAGATTCAATTACTATCTGATATTTGATTTAAAGATCTTTTTCTTTGGGTTTGAACCATTTTAAAATAAGATAATTAAATAATTTATTCCGATTTCAAAACTCTGTTTACTAGCTTTTCTCAGTAAAGATGCTAATATTCGTTACCTGAAAGGAACCTCGAGTTTAATTTTTATTAAATTTTTAATCTGTTCCAGCACTATATACAAAAACTGCTCATTAGTTTTAAACTAGCAATAATGATTCCAGATACACTAAAAATAAATCAAATTGTAAATTGCTTAGCTGACATTTTTCAGTTCACAGAAATTTTCCTGGTGTTCAACTACTAATAAACATATACTAACTGTGTTCAATAATGGAACACCTGCTTATTTTTACTTAACAAACTGTAAAAACGTCATTTGAGCCTGAAGGGGGAAACAGGTGGCTCCTGCCTCGAGAAAACCATTGTTTGACAATTAGGTAAATAATGTATGTCTGATGCTCCAAGTCTTAGTTGTACCTGAAACTCGGAAACTTAACTGCATTTTCTGTCAGAGAAGCCAACATGCCGTTACACACTATATCATCAGCCAAAAGAACCGTAAACAACTTATGGTGAAAGGATACATCTATAATTTTGAACGTGCTAGTGCTGAGAAAAGTATTTGGAAATGTGTAGAGTATTTTTTGTAAGGGCTTGTATTTTACTTGTAAGTGTGTAAAGGGCGAATTCACACTCAAGATGATAATATCATTCTTGAAAAATCTCACGGGCATCCTCCAAATGCTGGCAAAATTACAGCGAAAGAGATTATGAGTTCAATTAAAGAGCGTGCGGTAACAACGCAAGAATCGACACATTCTTTAGCAGCAGTTGGTACAATTGGTCTTCCTTGTGCTGTTTCGGGGCATATACCACCAGTGGAAAATATTAAAAAAATTATCAGATATGCTCGACACGGAGAAATGCCATTGCATAATCCTAGATGTCTTGAAGAATTAGTAATCCCAGAACAGTTTTCAAAAACACTAAAAGAAGAGAAATTTTTGCTGTATGACAGTGGAGTGCAGACAGACAGAATTCTAATTTTTTCGACCCTCAGAAATCTGGACTTCATGGCTGAATGTCCGAACTGGTTTGCTGATGGAACTTTTAAAGCAACACCACCGCTTTTCAGTCAGATTTATACAATCCATGGTGTTAAATATGATAATGTGATACCTTCAGTGTATGTATTAATGCCAAACAAACGCGAAGAAACATACAATAGAGTGTTTACGGTGATAAAATCTTTGAAACCGAATCTGCAGCCCAAAACTGTAATGACTGATTTTGAAAAGGCTGCCATAAATGCCTTTAAAAATTCCTTTCCGAATATCATTCAGAGAGGATGTTTTTTTCATTTAAGTTTAAGTCAATGTGTGTATAGAAAGGTTCAGTCTGCAGGTTTGCAAAGTAAATATGAAACTGATCCGAATTTCGTTTTGGAAATCTCTCAACTTGCAGCTTTGGCTTTCGTTCCTACTTCAGATGTCATTGAAGCATTTGAACAATTAATATCATCTACTTATTTTGTAAATAATATGAACATCATTCAGCCAATCATAAATTATTTTGAAGACACATGGATTGGTAGATTTACTCGTCGTGGACAACGTCGCAGACCAGTGTTTGACATCTCTCTTTGGAACTGTTATGATGCTGTAAAAGATAAAGTTCCAAGGACAAATAATGCGGTTGAAGGATGGCATCGCAGATTCAACGAACTTATGAACGGATGCCATCCAACAATCTGGAAATTTATTGATTGCTTAAAAAGGAACAAAATTTAAATTCTATAAAAATTGAACAATACATTGCAGGTCACCATCCACCAGTAAGTAGAAAAGTTTACAGAGATACATCTCTCAGAATTCAAAAGATTGTAAATGATTATAATGATCGGCCTATTTTAGACTATTTAAGGGGAATAGCCTACAATTTTCAACTGCAGGTGTAAATTTTTTATACATTAATTAATGAGGATGTTTAATGTCTGATATAATTATACATGTTTTTATTACTACAACTACAGCTTTAACATGAGTCGTAATTACATTATATTTTCTGAAAAATATTAGGCGAACTTTTATGCTCTTAGAGTTGATATTTACAATTATACTAGCTTTCATGAATATATGTGAATGATATTTTACTCCATATAATGTGTTTTATTTAAGCCTCTTTGGTATAATGTGTTTTATTTAAGCCTCTTTGGTATACACTCTTTGGTAGTATAAATCAAATTTTATTTCATCAGAGAAATTATGAACGACAAATGATGATGCCTTGTTCGTTTAAATATCATTTATTAACTGAAACGGTATGCGAAGCTAAAATTTATTGGAGATTTGGTATTAACAATAACGATATTTTTGAAAAATTCCTATCAATTAAAATTTTATTTCGTTTCATTTTTCATTAATTCATGTTTGTGTGAGAAAATGACTTTAGAGTATTTGTTTACAGTGGATAAATTTTTAGCTTAATAAGCTATCTATATTTTAATAAAATTCAGTAAATTTAATACCATTGTGGATGCATATAAGACGAAATTTTCAATTTCTATTCCTTTCTGAAATCATCCTGATCAGGCAGCTTAATATTAAAGAATACGTTTAAGAGTATTTTTTAACTCGTAAAGCAATGGGAGATATATTTACTTAATTTTATCTCAAATAATAAGATTAGACTTTTAATGGCTTTTCTTGTAACTTACTTTGATATATCAAACTTATATACGTGGGCACATCTTATATGTAAGCCCCTTTTGTCTTTCTGAAAGATTCTTAAAAGACAAAACTTTTTCATATATGACACCATTATGTTTTGAGACAATACGGTATTTTATTGCGTATTTCTGTATATTTAAAAGGGGGAAAATTTGAAAACTGAGGTAAGAGATTTGCTTTTAAATCCCTAGTCATTTCAATTTTGATCAATACTGATTATATAACATAATTTTAAAAATAATTTATTATATGACAGTAATGTAAATTTAACGTTAAAAATCCTTAACAGCAGTTTTTCATTTGCTAAATATAGAATGATATATAAATGGAAGTTTTATTTGATAAATATGAAAGGTATTTTAGAGAGTTTCATGTTTTTCTGCAATGGGTAACACTATAAACATCGGTCTTTTGCTACAAAAATACATTCTCAAAATATGCTTATGGTTTTCCATGTATAGCTTATTCGCAAATATTTATGAAGCAATATTAAATATTAGTTCTAACTTAGGCGGAAATTTCTGCTATGTTTACAGTTTTCTCGCGCTCCTAATTTTTTAAATGTATACAATGAAGTATTTATTATTTAATTAATTTTTTATAACTGCATTAATAGATGGTACATTATTTGCAAAGTTTTGACATGATATCACCTTTTTTACGAAATGAAGGAAAGTAAAATTATTGTTTATTCTTAAGCTACAAATTTTGAACAAGGCTGACATATCTACGCTAAATTTTATAATGGTGCCATAAATATTTTTCATTATTCAATAACAACTATAAATTTTTATAATTACTTAAAAATCGTAAAAGAGTGGATTATAAAGCACTGTGTTTAATAAAAATAATATAATATTAAGAATGGCAACTTTTGATTAAAATATAGATTCAAAATATTATTTCCTGACGCACTGCAAAATCTGAAAGTAGCACAGTCTATTGTAAACGAATTTTTCAGGATGCACTTTTGGATATAATTTGATCTGAGAAATAAACATTAATACAAGGTGATTATGTAATTCAACAAACAATCTCTATACTGCTTCATAAAATAGATAACTTATGATGGGAGTCTTCTTTTATAAAATACTGTGGTTTAATGTTGCAAACGAAGTTTCAGCTTAAGTTTGGAAATTAATATAGAGGGAAAGTTAAAAAGAGTCTTTCAAAACTAACAAGTTAGCATATGAATAGCATTAGGGAAGAATATAAAACACATTTCAGTATACATTCAGTATTTATTTCACAATAAGGAAACATTTTTCACTATATAAATAGCATAAGGAAATACTTTTTCAGTATATGAATGTAAAAAAACTTTTCAGTATATATCCAGTACTTATTTCAGTATAAAAAAAACCCATTTGAGTATGTAAATAGCATAGGAAAAGAATTTTTCAGCATATGATTCATATATTATATTATATATATCAATTTCTTTAATCAACTTTCGATTTCTTTAAAAAACATTAATATTTAAGAACTAGTCAATAGAAAAAATGCAAATAAACAAAACGTAAACATATTTAATTAAAATAAAACTTTAACAAACATTCTCTATTCGTAAAAAGCAAATTTAAAGTTAATTAAATTTTAAATTATGAAATTTAATTGCAAACAAATAAATGATTAATTATTGCTGCGAACTAATCTACAATATCATTTAAATTCTGAGAGCATATATAAATTACGTGAAAGTATCAAAATCCATGAATAAATATATAATTCCAAAATTTTTTTAATCCTAAAAATTTTTTTAAAATGTATAAGTGAATAATTGTTGAGCAGGCAGTAGACAAACTTATCAAGGGAAGTTGCCTCCAAACCTAACTCAATTATTCAATTCGTGTTTCGTCATCCATGTATTCAGAATTTAAATGATATTGCAGATTAGTTCGCAGCAATAATTAATCATTCATTTGTTTACAATTAAATTTCATAATTTAAAATTTAATTAACTTTGCTTTTTACGAATAGAGAATGTTTATTAAATTCAAATTTCATTACTTAAATCAATGCGCAAGAGAATTATTTAAATTTAATTTAACTTAATGTTTATTAAAAGTAAAACTATTATTTAACTAAAATATTTATTCTTTTTAATTAAAATAAAAATGTATTTTTTATTCACGAGAGATGCCTTTGACAAGAATTTTTATGTCTGTTATGGAACTTGAAGGGCATCAAAAGAACTTTTGAAATTTGCACTGAGATTGAACTTATTGAGATCTGTAGTTTTCAAAGCTTTATTTTTTTTATATGAGATAAAGGTTGGTTTGTGTAAAAAAAAAAAAAAAAAAAAAAAAAAAATCTAAAATGAGAAAAGATATATATTTTTTTTTTTACTTTTCAAACGAAAATATCAAATGCTCCTCAGCTGACTACCTCCTATCCAACCTTTTTCACATTTTATATGATTTTTTAAAATTATTTGGATGATTACTCCAGGAACCAAACCTTTTTTAGTAAGATCGGTCAAAAGTACGCAATTTGTCTAGTAATTTAATGGAAAAAAAAAAAAAAAAAAAGAAAGAAAAGAAAAGACATGAAAGAAAAATAAGATATTTACACCAGTTTTTTTTTTAAAAATAATATTGTAATTATTTAGTAAAATCATATCTTCTTCTATAATGCATACCACATTACTTCATTTTGTTTAAATTGTAGAAGATATTAAAGTTAAGTAAAAATTTCAAATTACCTTCGAATGCCACTTCCAGATACTTTTACAACAGGTAAACGAGTAAACAAAAAGTTAACATTTCTAGTCTCCTCTCCTGAAATTAAGCTCAAACTCTATACATAACTGTAAATAAATTAAATGAATATTGTAGAAAAAGTAGAAATCTTCTTCATTAAAATTTCTGAATTTATGTGTTCATTGATACTGGACTATCAAAAATGCAAATTGTGTGTCTTTCAAATTGCAAATTCATAGATATGCAAGAAATTCATATTATATTTAATTGTAGGGAGTTATGAAACTAGCATTATTTTCAATATAAAGACCTACATTCATTTAAGTCATAAATGTAAAGACCTACATTCATTTAAGTCAATCAGAGTTTTTTGTCTGCTTTCTAAACATTTGTCAATAAAATAAATATAACTCAAATATTTTTATATACAAATCAGAAAGACCTTACACAAAGATATAACCAGATAGCCATTATCTATACTGTTTTAATGATTTGAAGCATCATAATATGCATTTTTGTAAGACTCATTTGATAACACTGTAGTTAGCTAGGTCAGTAGTGAAACAATCATAGATGACTCAGTGCTAAAGAAAAAGATGCAAGAATTCTGAATACAGTTGAGAAAATTCATAATTATCTTATTGTTTTATAATTCTACATTTCCTATGAGCTATAATTTTTATTGCAATTCTTACCCATTACAATTAGGAATATATTAATCCTAGAAGCATTTGAAATTCATTTAAAAGAAATTCAAAACAATTTAGAGAAACTACTATTTTCTACTTTTATATATGTATTAGTTTTCAATAACAAGAGGATTTCCCAAAAATTTTGGTCCGGTTTAATGCAAAATTAGAGCACAAAATTTAAATCATATTTTTCGTATCAAAACCCTAGTGCTAAATATCCATAAAAAATAATTCATTTTATGATGAAACTGAAACATTCGAAGTTTATTGCAAAAGTTGCCTTCAAGAAGCAAAATGATTGTGTCACAGAATCAATGCGAATTCGTAAATATTACTAAAATGCATTACTATAATATGTAATATAATAAGGACTAGTAAATACGGACAATATACAAAACGAATAAGGACTATATGTAGTCCTCTGAACACGCACCATCACCACTACACTTTATATAAAAATTAGTCATATTTTAACAATAAAACGAAAAAAAATGTTTTTTTGAGCAATCCTGCACTCAAAAAAGCATGTGATTCGATTTTATACAAGTATATAGTATGAATCATAGCCAACATGCTAATTAAGCCTTACGTGAATATTAAAAAGAACACATATCGAAGTATAAAAAATGGCTAACTCCATGAAGTTATAAACTTATATGCAACATTTTGTTCTTTTTGTTACATGCAGATGCAATAATGAACATCGTAGTAGAGTTTTTATGGCTGGGAAAAGAGATAGAGAAGCTTTTTTTCCCCCTCTGTGAAGTGTAAGAGGAAGAAAATGTTTAACGTTGAGGTAAAGAAATCCAGATAAGCAATTAGTATATTTGTTGT